AATACCGCATGTTTATCATACATCCAAATTCTATTTTGTCTATACATTATGCATGAATATTATAATAAAAAAATTATACAGGTTAAAAACTCTAAATTATAAACATTACCAACATATGTGGAGTATTATTAATATATTAAATTTCACTAAAGTTCACTAAAATTCTCTTTAAATTAACTAATTCCCTAAAATTAACTAATTCCCGGCCTTAAAATTAACTAATTCCCTTAAATTTCACTAAAATTCCCTTAAAATTAACTAATTCCCTTAAATTTCACTAAATTTCACTAAAATTTCCTTAAAATTAACTAATTCCCTAAAATTCCCTTAAAATTAACTAATTTCCTTAAATTTCACTATATTTCACTAAAATTCTCTTAAAATTAACTAATTCCCTTAAAATTAACTAGTTTCCATAAATTTCACTAAAATTCACTTAAAATTAACTAATTCCCTAAAATTCCCTTAAAATTAACTAGTTTCCTTAAATTTCACTAAAATTCACTAAAATTCACTTAAAATTAACTAATTCCCTAAAATTCCCTTAAAATTAACTAATTCCCTTAAAATTAACTAATTGCCTAAAATTTCACTAAAATTCCCTTAAAATTAACTAACGTCCAATAATTAATATTATTAAACTATAAACATGCACAATATGTTAATGGCATTAATTTAATCCACAATACTAAAATTATCAACATCTTAATCTTATTAATAATGCACATTTAACAATTTACTAAATTAAATAATATGAGCAAATCCAATAATTTGAGCATGTATATATATAATAAACACATTTAATTTAAATTAACTAACCCTAATTTAAATCATTATTAATCCTAAATTAGGCTGCCTTAATTAACAATAATTGCCAATATAAAGAAATCATATACTTATATTTAATCATATATATATAAAGTCATTTGAATTAAATAATACTTACATTTAACTAATATTAATAATATGCATTTAAATTATATTTAATCATATATACTTACACATGTATTTAACTAATTTACGTAATTTTAACCCTATATTTTAAAATTAATAACATATGTATTGCCAGTATTATATTTAATAATATACTTTCATATATTTGTATTTAACTAATTTACATATTTAACTAATTTACGTAATTTTAATTAATTAAATACAACTTAATTAACCCAATATGTTTAAATTACACCTACGTTTAACGTAACTAAATTTAAGGAATTTATTTCGTTAATTAATTAAGTATTAATTTAACTAATGTACGTAGTAGCTAAAATGAACCAACTAATTCATACAAAAAATACGTAATTCAAATTACATACCTTATCTGCATAAACAGGAAAAATGATATGAGATGGGTAGATTACATCCTTCAATTCTATCTGGAATTCTATCTGGAGTAGATGGTGTGATTTTGTTGAATGAAGCGGAGGCTGAATATATAAAACTTATAGTCACGGACGTAGTCACGGATGTGTCCGTGACTACACATTTTTTGGTCCGATTTGTCAGAGCACGTTAAATTTGGAACGTTGAAAAATAATTTTTGCACTTGTCACGGCATTAGTCACGGAACCATCCGTGACTAATTTCAAATTTTAAAAAAATCCCACCGGAGGCGAAATTGGGTTGACCGGAACACTTTAGTCACGGACTACATCTGTGACTAACTATAGTCACGGACGTAGTCACGGCCCCATCCGTGATTATTTTTTTTAAACATTCCGTGACTATACCGTGATTAGAACCGTGACTAACTAGTCACGGACCAAATCCGTGACTACAAGCGAATTTTTTTGTAGTGAAATACTTGTACTGCTGCTTCATATCTGAATAATAAGATTTCACACTTTACCTCTTATCTCTCTTATATTTCTATCATGTTATCAGAGCTTTAGCTCGATCCATTAATGGTGATCTCCGATGACTCTTCTCAGTCCTCGAGTGGAAACTCTGGCAATCCTACCTCTCCTGTTATTTTCACACATCCTCTTCCAGTTAAACTAAAAAAAACAATTTCTTATTCTGGAAACATCATGTTGAGTCTGTTGTTCGTGCGCATAAGCTTCTTCGTTTCATTGTAAAACCGATCATTCCGAAGCAATTTGGTACTGATGCTGATGAAGCAGCTGGTAATGTTAACAAAGCTTATGCTGTTTGGGAGCAACAGGATCGGATGTTGTTCTCCTGGTTATTGGCTTCGCTTTCCGAGTCTCTAAACGCTCGTGTGATTCATTGCAGGCATTCACACCAGTTGTGGAGTGAAATTACTATTTTCTTCAAGTCGCAGATTCTCGCGAAGTCTAGACAACTCAAATCTGAGTTGTATAATACATCTAAGGGTGATCGCTCGATCTCTGAGTATCTTATGCGTGTTCAGACAATAGCTGATAATCTTATGTCGATCGGAGAGCCTATTTCTGTTAAGGATCATTTTAATGTCATACTTGAAGGTTTACCCGAGGAATACGAGTCACTAGCCTCTTCTATTTCATCACGAAGTATCCTTGATCCACCTACTTTGTCTGAAGTTGAAGCTCTTCTAGCTGCCAAGGAGTTGCGTTTGAAGAAGCTCAATGAATCCTCACAATCTACTATATTCTCTGCCAATGTAGCTCGTCTACAACCAGATCCTGTAAACACAACTCATGAACCTGAATCTCCTTCAGGTGTAGAAACTACTTCTGCTCATGTTGCTCAGTTTCACACTTCAAATAGCAATGATTCCTACAGAGGTAGAGGTTATGAAGGTCCTATGAGAGGTCGAGGTGGTAGATTTGGTGGTCGTAGTTCAGTGATTTGTCAAGTATGTGGCAAATCTGGTCATCATGCTTTAATCTGCTACCATAGATTTAATCCTTCGTATTCTGCTGTACCTGTTTCTACAAATCCTCATCCCTATTCTTCAACTCCAACAACCTATACTCACACTTCTCAGCCCTATCATTCAACCCCAAATTTACACTCCAAATCCTCCTAACACCTCAAATTCTAATCCACATATCTTCAACTGGCTTCAGCAATCCTACAGTCCTGCACCACTACAAACCTACAATCCTAATACACAACAATCAGTCCCTCAGAATACCTACAATCCATCACCCACTGCTGCCTGGGCATCTGCAACTCCTTCCATTCTAGGACCACCTCCACAACCTCGAACTTGGTTCCCAGATTCTGGTGCTACTCATCATGTGACTGCTGATCCATTGAACCTGCAACATAGTGAACCTCTTGTTACAACTGATATGCTTTTTATGGGAAATGGTCAAGGTTTGGAAATTAAGTCTATTGGTTTTACTTCTTTTCCCTCACTTTATCAGTCTTCTTTAGCCTTGTCACTTAATAACATTTTGCATGTTCCATCCATTACTAAAAGCCTCTTAAGTGTCAGTCAGTTTGCCTTAGATAATCATGCATTTTTTGAGTTTTATCCTTATGAATGTTTTGTTAAATCTCAGGCTTCTAAACAGATCCTGTTGCATGGTATCCTTGGAGAGGATGGTTTATACAGATTTCAGTCTGTTCCAGCTCTTGGTTTCCATCAAAATAACTCAACAACCAGCTCTTATTCTGTGTCATCATCTTCTTCCAGTTTCAGTCCTTCTAGCATTTTTCTATCTATTTGTAATAATTCTAAGTCTTGGAATTCTTCTGGAATATGTCATATTTGGCATTTGAGATTAGGCCATCCTCATTATGAGGCATTGAAATCTGTACTGCAACTGTGTAATGTTTCTTCAATCAATAAAAATGTTGTTCAATTTTGTTCTGCTTGCTGTCTAGGGAAAGCACACAGATTACCATCATCTAGCTCTACAACTTCCTATCACAAACCATTTGAACTCATTTTTACAGACCTATGGGGACCAGCCCCATTCTTATCATTTGATGGTTACTCTTATTACATATCCTTTATTGATGCTTATACCAGGTTTACTTGGATTTACTTCCTTAAAAAGAAGTCTGATGCTCTCATAGCATTCACTCGGGGGTATGGTAGGGGGTGGGGTAGGGTCATTGTAGGGAAAGGGGTATGTAGTGTTGGGGTTGGGTGGGTAGGGTAGGGTAGGGTAGGGGTAAGGTACGAGGATGGAGGTACTAGAATGGAATCGACATCAGAGCGGGACCGGACCCACCACTATGTGTAAGTATGCAAATTCATTGCAGCGGCCTGTAGCATCTGCGTTTTCTAAATTTGGAAAACTAGTAAAAGTCACTTCTCCAAATCATTAAGGAAATGAGAGACATATCTCATTTTTTTCGTTTTGTAAAACGGTTTGGTAAACGTGTTTTTCTGTTTTCTTTTCTCCAGTTTTCCAGCAATTTTCTTCGGTAAACACGTTTCATGTTTTCTGTTTTCTAGTTTTCCAGTTTTCTGAAAAATTAGAAAATATCTCTGTTAGTAAACAAACCCTTATATTTGCTATTGTCCTTGAAAATGCAATACATCCTTTCTTCTTGAAACTCAACATCCAATGTGCAAATTTTTTCATATCCCACTTAGAAGATACAATATTTCCAAAACTAACTAAAAAATGGGTTTGTTTAAGAGAAGAAAATCAGAAATTCTTGAAAGAATAAATAATTGAAAACATAAAAAAGAACAAAGAGAAGGAACACAGATCGGGAAACTAAAGCACAAGGACATACTTGAGGTGAATACGAACAATTCAAACCCATGAGATATTATGCATAAGAAGAACAAAGACAAACTTGAGGTGAATAAACAATCTCGAAATCATGTTTATCTCAACCGCAGAGAAGGAAACGCTGATAAGGAACCCTGTGTTCTTGCGATACCGGGGTGAAGGGGTCTTTGCAATCGGCAACCGCAGAATAATAAAAATAAGCTAGAAAAGTAATAGAGCACTTGTTTTTTCAGGTGATAAGAAAATTCAGCTCAAGTAGCCAATTTGATAGGTGTTTGGTGATTTAATATGCACTCTGAGGCTTATCTACCTATTATTAGTGTTCCAAACGGCCCCTATACTAGATGGATAGATTGATGCTGCCTGGTTGAGTAAAAAAACTGAATTAACATCATCAATACTCCGTACAATTTTCACTTATCAATCATGGTTGCCTAATAAATCTTGAGTTTCGTTCTCCTGCAAAGCCTTTCACCCGACAGACTGAGATAATTTGATACTTGGCGCTGGAAGGAGAGCAAGAGAGATGGAGAGGGTGAAAAAAAAATTGGGTAAATATGAACTTGGCAGAACCATTGGAGAAGGAACTTTTGCTAAAGTTAAGTTTGCCCAGAACACGGAGACAGGTGAAAGCGTTGCAATTAAAGTTTTAGCCAAGAGCACCATTCTTAAGCACCAATTGGTTGAACAGGTAGGTATTCACTGTTGTTTGATCCATATTGTTCTTTAGTTTATGGTTCTCGTGGATTTGCAGCTTTTGACGCTGTGCCTTTATAATAATCCTTGAATTCTTCCAGTATTTCTGGTTCCAACTTTCTGATCCCTTGCCATCCATTTTCTTGTTGTGTGTAAAAGTAATGCTCCGTAGCATGTCACTTGACCTGCCATAGCTTATATGATAGTGTGATGTTCTTGGGATATTTTCTGACGAGATTGAGGTATTGTAAAGGACGATGGTGGAGCTGCCTTGGGCGATTGAGAAGACAAATGTGCTGGAAATTAAAAGAAAGGAATGTTATAGAACTCGTAAACACAAAATGAGTACTTGAAAGCAAACATATATCATTTATAAAATAGAAAATTAATCAAGCCTATTTTAGAATACTAATCTTGATGGCTAGCCTTGATTTTCCCTGTTCATTGATACAATTTCATGAATTAGTCTTCCGGAGTTATAGACTGCAGATTGTGGCAGAGCTGTCTAAGAAGTAACTTCAGCTAACTTGTAAAAAAGTGTACTTGGGAGAGGGGGGTGTTTACAAAAAACAAAAAGAGACCCTAAATATTGATTGTTTTTCAACTGATGAGATGATGATAGTAATTCCACTTGTATTAGAACCTAGAAGTGCCACTATTTATTTCTGAAAATGTTCTCAGGAAGTAGAAGCACTTCTATTTGATGTTTATTATAACTTGTGGTTCTGAAAAAGGGGAAAATAAAATCTTAGTGACATGTTGTGTGGATAATTTATTTTTTTAATATGTCATAGACTATATGTCAGAAAAAGACGATTATTAGCTTTTCCTTGCTAACATTTTTTTGAGGTGATTTTTAGATCAAAAGAGAGATATCTATAATGAAGATTCTCAGGCATCCTTGCATTGTTAAGCTCCATGAGGTACACTAAGGTTTTATCATGTATAAATTACCCTTAGGAGTGGACTCAGTTCTCTTTTGATTGGTTTGGCACCCTTTAGTGCCGGGTCAGTTCAGCTTTACTCTGTCCACCCATAGTTACCATTGTTAGGAACGCTTTGTTTTACCGTACATGGTTTTATACATTCTCTCAATGCACATATGTTCATTAACCTTGATCTGTCTTAATATGGTGTAGGTTTTATCTAGCCAGACAAAACTATATTTTGTTTTGGAATTTGTATCTGGAGGAGTACTATTTGACAAGATTGTAAGGATATTCCAACTAATGTTTATTATAGTTTTTCATGAGTTTCTATAGAGTGATTAGTTATCTCCATATAGTTGCAATTTGTTTTTTTGCCATATTGCTGAACTTAGCCTAGCATCATACTTTGTATAAAGAATGTTGAGAGATGAGACTTTGATTATATCTTAATACAGTTTGTTGTTCACGAAGTTCTTTTGATTTTTTTTCTCTTCCTTGATTTTCTCTTTCATTTTAAGAGTCTTGTTTATTATTTACCATTTTTCATTTTTTCCGTCCCAAAATGTTTTAATCCTACCAAACTAACCAAAGTATGGATGACACTTTGCAAAATGTCATCCATATTTTTAGGAATTCAATGCTAACCACACCATTCCACTCTTCCATAATGTATGTGTATGTTCCTTGTCATGGATTTTATGGGACGGGGGGAATACTTAGGTAGTTTTTACTTCGACTTATTTCAGTCCGAGATGAGACGACTAAACCATACTATATACCAGACTTAAATCGACCAGACTAGACCAGACTTCGACAGTTATAAAATACACATGGACCAGACATTTATCAGACCAGACTACAAAATTTCAGTCTAATTAAAAACATCCTTAGTAACAAATTCTGAGGAATGGTATTTGGCACCAATGTTCTTTTTCTCTGCATGAGTTTATAGTGTAAACTAATGTTAGGTGATTAGTCCAAACTATAAATTTTACGCCAATGACTTGAACTTGTGGGGATTAAGGTGCTGATGACTAAGAAAATTGTTACCTATGTTGCATAGTTCTATAGTTGAAGTGCAAACTCTTTCATCAAAACACATTTTGCAAAGAAATTATAATTTTCTTTCTACAGCACTTCAGTTTTCCCATAAAATGCTTTTTTATCTCTTTGTTCAAGACTATTTGTTACTACCTGCTCTATATGTTATGCATGGAGGAAAGGTTCATCAAGGCAGACTTTGTGAGGATGAGGCGCGGCGCTACTTCCAACAACTTATTGATGCAGTTGCACATTGTCATAGTAAGGGTGTATACCACCGTGACCTTAAGGTGTGAGGCAATTATTGATAGTGTTGTCAATAATCTTTACTGAAGTGCAGCTATTTAATGGTTTACGCGTAATTTGATTGTTTTTTTTCACTGATTAATAGCCAGAGAATCTGCTTCTTGATTCCATCGGGAACCTGAAGGTCTCTGATTTTGGATTGAGTGCATTACCTATGCAAGTAAGGGACTTGGCATTGACTTTAACCACCCCTGCCCCTAACACCCCACCTTTTCTCATTCTTGACTTGAAAAACCTTTAATGATTTAACTTTTACTCATCTTCAGGGAGTTGAACTTCTTCATACCACTTGTGGAACTCCAAACTATGTTGCTCCTGAGGTACTTCTCTTTCATGTTAACTTTCAATAAACACTATTGGCACAACCATTTCCCATCAAATATCTAAATGCATGAAAACTATTTTTGAAAATTGGCTATCCCTTTTGTTAGTTGGATTCTAAATCTTGTTGTCCGTAGGCCAACAGCTGTTGGCATACAAGTAGACTTATATTGTAGGGCGGGGCAACCCGGAGCCTATTTGGCTTCAGTAATCAGTACAAATGTAGAATAGAATATGTACTAATATTTACGTAGTTTCTGTTTTTATGCCACTTTATGGTTATTTAGCTAATAGCGATAACTTGTTTTTTGAACCCCTTCAGCATGAATGGAAACTTAATTTTTGGAAAGAGAAAGTTAAGGTCCTTCCATTTCCATGTGTTAGGTTGTTTTCCTAATGTTCAGTGGTTGGAAGACAACTCCATATCCACAAAGAGATCAATATTGTGCACTTAATGTTGTCAGATGAGTGAATACATTCTTTGATTTCCATCCCAAAACAAGTGACCGTTAAGGAAAAAAATAGGCTTAAGGAGATAAGTAATTATCACAAATTGGCAGATATAACCCCATTATATTACCAAGGTATCAAAAGTATAAAGCAAGAGTTAGCGTAAATATTGAAGGACAACTTAGTCATTATACAAAAACAACAACATCTAAGCCTTAGTCCCAAAAGAGTTTAGAGAAATTAGTCATTAGACTATATTTTTTGTACTGCTCAATGGCTACATACTGATGAACACAACGTAGTGAGCTAAAGGTCACTTATTTTACAATAGAGGGAGTATTTATGAATTTCTTTTGTGTGTTAAAATCCCAGTCAATAGCTGTGTAGCACCACATGTTTTCCCCATCTTAGAATTATCACAAATGGAAGGGTTTCACCAAGATAGGGTACCTCGGGAAGTACTTTGGTGGGTCTTAGCTAGAAAAGACATATCATGTAGGTATATTAGTATCATCATGGATATGTATGACGCTTGTAGTACAAGTGTCCGTATTAGTGTAAGGAGGACTGAAGAGTTCCCTATTACTATCGGAGCGCTCCAAAGATCAGCTCTAAGTTCGTTCTTATTTGATATAGTCATGGATGAACTTAAGAAGTCAATTTAAGAAGATATACTATGGTGCATGATGGTTGCTAATGATATTGTATTGATTGATGAAACACAATCGGGAGTTAAAGCAAAGTTGGAAGTATGAGGACAAACATTGGAGACCAAGGGTCTAGACCGAGTGCAAGTTTGGTCAAGGTAGAAGTAGTAGTAACAGAGGAGATACCCTTGTTGTTGAAATTTTTTCACCAGAAACTAGTAAAGTTATTGAACCATGAATTTAGTAAGATGTCTTATCATTGTCTAAATTTATTTATCTACCAAGTGTAACAGATTGAGTACATCTGCTAAGCATTTAATGTGAATACTAGTCTGATAGTCCAAGTTCATCTATCATTCCATTCTTTGTTGTTTTTCTCTCTTTTACACCTATGACATGATTCAGATTAATGCATTCCCAGTTTATGATGTATATGCTTGGCTATCACAGTATCACAGTACCCTAATGGCTACAGGTGCTAGGCCAACGTGGCTATGATGGAGCTGCTGCTGATGTGTGGTCATGTGGAGTCATCCTTTACGTTTTATTGGCGGGATCTCTACCCTTTGACGAGGCACAGATTCTACCATTATATCGAAAGGTCAGGTACTGTATTTCTGCTTAAAATTTGGTTGATTCATCCTTATGGCATGATGAAAGTATATATTTTAATAGCTTGTTCTCTCACCACAGTTAATTGCAGCAGAATTTGTCTTTCCGTTTTGGTTCACTCCTGGTGCAATATCATTGATACAGAAAATACTTGATCCCAACCCTAAGACTGTATGTTCACATATGTTCTTATTCTTATTAGACTATTAGAGACTTCGTAATACTTTGTAACAGAATAAAGCTCTATATAGTAGTGCAATGTTTTAATCTCAAATAATAAAAGGATGCTAAAACAACTACATCGCTAAATATTCAAACTACCAAAGACAATTCCTAAATCATTTCATGATTCCTTTTCTTTATTGTGACTAAGATATTGTGGAGTGTTATTGTACTCTATGAAAACCTAGTAATTTTCTCGTGTGGGCGTGTATCTTGTAAGGCTGTATTCGTGGGACAGCTTTATTCTATAGTGATTGAAGTGTACTAGTTGTCTTATCCAGCGCATTAAAATTGAAGGGATCAGAAAAGATCAATGGTTTCAGAAGAATTATTTGCCTATCCAAGGTAGGAAGGATGAAAAAGAGACTGTGGGTGATGTCTGTGCTGTGCTTTATGGCAGCGAGGTTAGTTTTCTTTCCGTCATAATACTTCAAAATATGTTGAGGCCACAGGTAGAAGAATATTTCTTTCCCTTCTTTGTGTTGTTTTAGTGTTTTATGCATTTATAGAGAAATTCCATATTTCATATATTTAGTTGTTCTTTGAACAATACTCCCTCCGTCCCATTTTACTTGTCTTACTTTCCTTTTTTGGTTGTCCCAAAATAAGTGTCGCATTTCCCTTTTTGGAAAGAAATATGTGGTCCACATCATTTCACTTTATTATACTCAAATATCAACTACAACTTTTACCTTTTCAAACACTTTATTAATATTTGTGCCGATAACAAATGAGACACATAAAATGGGACAGATGTAGTAACAATCATAATTTTCTCGTGTTCAATGAAATATGCAGCATGAAGTTGTAACTGAGCAGTGTCAAAGTACTACCAATGGCCCTTTCGTTATGAACGCCTTTGAAATGATTGCTTTATCTCAAGGGTTGAACCTGTCGCCATTGTTTGACAGGTGCCAGGTACATTGACAATTCAAGTTCATGTCTTCTCAACCTCTTTACTATGTTTTTTCCTTTGGTAGTTGTCTCTTATTGCTTTATGCCAATTGAATCTCGGCACTGACATTTTGTGACAGAAGGTAGTTTAGCTCTAATAGAGATGATTATGCATTACAGTTGAAGTTATACCAACATTAACTTCTAATTTGCATTTATTTTCTTCCTTCAAGTAAAACTAGGCTTGGTTCTATCCGAAAGAAGCTTACGTACTGCTATTTCCTTACTTTTCTTCAGGATTTTGTCAAGCGGCAAACCCGTTTTGTATCACGTGAGCCTGCGAAAGTTATCATTTGTGCGATCGAAGCAGCGGCAAGATCCATGGGACTAAAGTTCCATTCATCTAACTACAAGGTAAACTGCTTATTAGTATTTGCATCTAGATAATAATCGTTAACATGCTCTAAGTGTTAAATGACCCTACGTGACTAAAATAGAAGGGCCGGTGATACAAAAAAACAATAATGAGCCCATTTGGTAACACTGAAATCGGTTGAATCGGCGGATTCTGCTGAAATTTATAAAGTTCTGGCTGAAGTGGTTGTATTGCATGATTCTGATAATTTATGAAAAAGTTATATTTAAAATATATTTTACTAATAAAATAAAGAAAAAATTATATGAAAAATAGCTAAAATGATCATCTATAGTAACTTCAACCAATACACCCAGAAAAGTAACTTCAACCTTACTTTTTTATTATTACATAATTCAGTGCACGAAATCAAAAGTTACGTGTTTGGTTAAAAAGCTGGCTGATAAACCTGATTAGTTGAAAAACAGAGTCGCCAAATGGGGTCAATGATGTCAATCAACTAAATTGACGGTTTGCTTTTGTCAACTGATATTCACAAATTCAGATAAAATGTTTATAGTATTTTCTTTAGGAAAAGTACGGAAAAGATACTTGTGGTTGGACCCGTTTTCAAATAGGATCATGTGTTTCATTTTTTATCAAAGTGGTTCATGTGTTTGAATTCCGTTATCACAAGAGGGTCACTCCATTAACAACGTCTGAGAAAGACGGTTAATAGTAACTCCAGTTTTCAAAAGTGCCCAGAAAATTAAAAGTAAAACACCGAAAGGTGCGTCTCATCAAGATACCTCCAAACCACCTTCGCCTTTGAATTTTTTGGATCTGTTTGAATTACTTTTTCAAAATGATTTCATTAATATCACTTTTCTGGTGGACTTTCCGATGACAAGGGTGGCTGGAAACAAAAAAGAAAGCTTGCTTAGTGGTCGTCTTGTTGAGCGCACCTTCTAGTATTTTTCTTTTAATTTTCGGGCACTTTTGAAAATCGGAATTACTATTAACCATCTTTCTCAAATGTTTTTGACGGCGTGACCCTCTTATGATAACGGAATTTAAATACATAAATCACTTTGATAAAAAATGAAACACATGACTCTATCTGAAAACGGGGTCAACCACAAGTATATTTTCCATACTTTTCGCTATTTTCTTTCCAGAATTGTAATTCAGGAATACTGATGTAGCTTATTTTACTATATATACTTTGACAGACTCGGATGGAAGGTGTATCTGGGAACAGGGGCAAGTTTGCTATTGCATTAGAGGTGTGATCTCTGACCTTGATTATGAACTTTGTATAGTATATGTGTGGTGACTCCTTTATTTTTGATTTTTTTATTAATTTATTATTATACTATCCAAAGGTTTTCCAAGTCGCCCCATCTCTGCATATAGTGGATGTCCGTAAGGCAGCTGGGGACACGCTTGAATATCACCGGGTTAGCTTGCTTTACTTTTGATCTTCAAGACTTCAACCATCTACTTTGGAATTTCTTTTAATGGAGAAGGTTGTCTTCTTGAACTTGAAAGCTTATGCATTTATTTATTTTTGAAGGAAGAACATGCCTATGTTAAATATTGAGTTTGCTTTGCAGTTCTACAAGAACTTCTGTGAAAAGATTGACCATGTTATTTGGAAATCAACGGAGGGGGTGGCAAATGCTGCTCCGCTACTATGAAACTATCTGTTCTCATTCCAAGGCATGAAGGGAATCAGTTGATATTACAACACAACAAAATCCAACCCATACTTTGGACACAAATAATGCCATAATGTTCCTGGTTGAGGAATGAATTGATATGTGGCAGTACTATATGTGTGTATTGACATGCTTCATAGCAACACTCCCCAACATTAATATAGAGGAAGAAAATACTACTCTAACTAATGTCAAGATGTTAACTAATTGTCATCTTAGCAACACTCCCCAACATTAATATAGAGATAGTATTAAGGAAAGAACTAATAATTAATATTCAAGGGAAGAAGTTAAGAAAATAACTCACAACTTTAATAATCAACAAGTTTCAAGTATTGATGGACTCGGGCCGGGTCGGGCCGCCGGGTAGTATGACATGGGCCCGGGACCGGCCCGAGGGTTGGACGGGTCCGGTCCGGGCCGGGCCACCCGCCCGGGTCACGGGTCGGGTCCGGTTCGGGCCGGTTAATTTTTTTTTTATAATTTATATTTTATAGTTTATAATTTTATACGAGTATTAAAAACAAACTTCAATTGCATTTATTTGAAATGAAATAGGAACTACATTTGAAAATTAAAACAAACTTTAACAGATAAACATTTTGAAATTTGTAATCAATCGGAATTTCCCGCACCTCCCGATCCTTTGGCTTTGTCACATGACTTCATATGCTTGATTGCCATTCTGAATCCGCCAGAAACCCCCATGCTACATTTTTTCTCGCACCATTTGCAAATTGCGTACCACATCCCGGTCTTCGGGTTCTTCTGCTTATCAAAATTATACCGTATAATGGCATCTTGATTTTCCATCTTAACTTCTTAAGTATAAACTATAAAGTAGATATATAAATAATAAATATAATATATTGGAGAATAAGAGAATTAGAGAGTAGAGAGTTAAAAATAGGATTTAGAAAGAATTGGAGAAGACTCAGAAGAGATGAAAAAATGTTTAAGATTAGGAGTATTTATAGGTTTTTTACCCCCACCCCCCCCACCACCACCCCACCAGCCAACCCCCCGGACCCCCCCTTTACCCCACCCAACGGCTATATAGCCGTTTGGGTTGTCCCCAGCCCCACCCCCACCCCCAACGGCTAGTAGCCCAAACCATTTTTTTTTTAAAATTAGACCCGGACCCGGGCCCGGGCTCGACCCGGCCGGGCCGGGTCACAATAATCCAGCACCGAGCCCGCCCCGCCCCTTCCCACCGGTTCGGGTCCATACCCGGTCCCGGACCGTTCGACCGGGCCGGTCCCGGGCCCGCACAGTACCGGGCCGGGCCGGGTCACGGGCCGGGTGGCCCGAACCGAATCCAACCCTAGTTTCAAGAGCAACACCAAGAAATGGAAGTTTAGCTCCTCATTTGGAGACTAAACATAGCTAGAAAAATATAAAGAAATGCTATTCTAAACTGAGCTTAAGAGTAAAGAAGAAGGGATATTTAAAAGTGAAGAAAAATGGGGTTATTTATAGGTGTTTTCAACACCTATGGCCGGATACCCGTCCGGGTATTTGTCAAATCAAATCTTTTTCCCACGTTTTTGTGTTCTTCTGCACGTCTTCCTGTCTGAAATCACTTCATACCCGACCGGGTATATGAAATACCCGACCGGGTATTTGATATAATTTCCGAGAAGCTTCCTCTTTCACTTCATACCCGGCCGGGTAAAGGCCATACCCGACCGGGTTTTGGACAAAACTCAGGTTTCTTCATCCTTTTTGCTTCCAAACCTATCCTAAATTTATAGCACAACTAGCTACAACTTACAACAAACAATAAAATGCTAGAAATACGATTACAATCAAATGCAAACTAACAACTACAAACTTGCACAAAACTAGTAAATAAATATTACAAACAATAATAAAAATGTATACTTAGGCACTAATAAATAGTGCCTATCAGAGTGGTTCAACGTGCTGCCCGAAGGAAGCGTGGACTCATGGCAAGATCTCTCCTTATCTCCAAAATTCCTTTTACTGCCGTCTTACCCCAACTAACCAAATCCACCGACCTACGCACGTGAGATTTTAAAAAAATTCGGACCTCCTTTCTTTTAAAAAGATCTCGGGTCTCCCCTTGCCTAAAATATTTTGAAGCATCACCCGAGATCATCATCTGAGATCTTAACACTCAAAATCAATCAGCGCCAAATTCTTTATCAACCCGAACAGTTCTCGCCTTAAGATCATTCAACAGTCAAAGCTTCCAAGAGTCAACCTTGAGTTTAAAAAAAATCTCAAGGTTAAAGACTATTTTTTTCTTCTCAAAGCTCAAAGCTGGTCAAAGCTATTTTCTGTGAAGGATCCATCTCCAACAATCTATGATGAGTTCCTACTCCAACACATCAATGCTCTCTAGCAACGGATCAACCACAATATCTGACAAGTTTCAGGTAAGTACTTCTAATTCCAATAAAATAAAGGAACTTGAAGATAGACTTGCTAATAGTCAAAGATGTCTGGAACAACAAGTGTTGGAAGGAGCTTTTCAAACAGCTCACTTAAAAGATTCACGAGATAAAGTCACTAGCTTAGAGTCTGAAGTAGCAAAACTCAAGCAAACTGTCTGTGAATTAACCAAGGAACTGGATGAAAACAAGCAAAAACGTTCTGAAGCTGTTACCCGTTTTGAAATAATTAACAAGGAACGTTGTCGTCTTTATTCAAAGATAAAGGAGTTAGAGAATATTTTAGCCAAGAGAGGTCAATCAGAACAAACAGCCTTGATGGATAATTGATACCCATATCCTATAACTAGTGAGAGTCTGAACAAGAGTGGAGAAGAAATGATGAAGAAGAAGATGAATAGTGTATAGAATGAATATTGATTGTATGAGTTGTGTAGCCTCCTAAAGGAGTATATATAGGGAAAATCCGGGTCTGGGCCTTTAATATGGGCCTGACAGACCCGGTTACATAAATGGACTGATAGTACAAACAACTAATCTAGAACATCTGAATAATAATAATAATGTACAATAATATGAATGATATCCACTAAACGTGTGTGGGCCGTTGTCCAGGCCCAGTAGTTGGCAGACCAGGGGGTCGGAGTCCATATATTCCATCAGGAGTCCCCCACTCCCTGAGTCGAGAGTACTCGAGGCGAAAGGGAGTAGTCCAAACTGTATCTGCAACGTTCTTCTGTCTTTGATTTCTTCCTTTCCGGCCGGGGACCACCACTCTTGTCCATGATGGGGAGGTGCCTCGTTAAAAACCTTTACTAGGAAAAAACATGTGGGAAAAAATCATAATAAAGAGAAAAAGAGTACACCTAACGCCCCCAACATGAAACGAGGAAGGTAGGCCCCTTCCAGCATAATCATTTTTGTCTAGTTCAACTTGTCTTCATCTGACTTAGCTCTCGTTCCTGCTCATGCGTGATGTTTGCTGCTCATCCAAAAAATCTGACCTCTCAGTCCCTCAGTCCCCCACTCTTTGAGGCGAGTGGAGTCGAGGTGAAAATGAGTAAAGTCATCTTCGTACCTACACATTTAGCATGCATATAATTTTTTTCTTGGGGTTTATGTTTCCGATCGGGAGTTCGTCACTTGAAAAAGTGGAAATGTGAATTGTTGATGTAATAATAAAATACTTAGTAGAGTATACATGCGAGCCATTCGTACGCAACGGTCGCCACTCTTGGAATGACTAAGACCGGTCTTCGTGCCCGACTTGGTCGGGGCTTTGTGCCTGACTTGGTCAGGGTTTCGTGCCTGCTCTGGGTCAGGGCTTTAAATCCTGGTGATGGGTCTCAAGCCACATTCTACTAGGCATTTGATCATAATTGCGTGATAGTGTGACATTTAACCGGAAAAAAATGATTTAAATAAATACAAAAAATATGAAAATTGATGAGTACTTATCTTTTGATGGGCTGAATTATATTGTTGTGTATTGCTGAAATTGTGGCCCGATTTAATGGATTGGTGCCCATTTTGGGCTGAAGCAGTCCTGGCTCGCACTCTTTGATTGATGTAGGGTCTGGCTCGTTGCTCGACAGAAATCAACCGACAAAGCCGCTGCTTCACTCGTACCAGGATGTGGGAAGAAACCTTCGGCTGCAATTGGCTCGCCCTGGAGCGTTGGGGCCTCAAAATGGAAGAAGGGATGCGACTCCAGGCAGCGGTTAACCGGCAGATCCCAGTAGGAGGGCGGGCGGCGCTGTGGCGGAGATGACAGAACTCAGACTCGTCATCCTTCGAAGCTTTGAGGTGGCCATTAATGGTGGACCTCCGAGGTCGAGCTCCATCAACCGGAGAAGATGACTTAGGAAGATGAAAGTCAGGGCCTAGGCCTTCCTTGCGCTGCGATGGCGACCGAGCGGTGGCGGAGCTGCCGGGAGCCGGGCGACGTCGCAAGCGAGATGGCGGAGCCCATACCTCGCCGTTGGCTATCCGGGTCACAGATTTGTGGGGGAGCATGGCCCTGCTGTGGCGTCGCCTCTGGTGGTGGGCCTGTTTCCAGATCCGGATGCTTCCTCTGATCGACCGCAGATCAGATTCTTCTTCCCCTTTAAGATCTATAATTGCAGATCTGATTTCTTACAAATGTGACACGGCTTTGTGCGTCTGAAGAGCCCTTCGTTGGTCACTGGAATGACACTGCTAAGCCAGCTCCCAGGCATAGCAGTGGAAGCTGGAGCGGACTGACAGAGGAAAGAGCGGCGAACGGAGGCGTTGCTACGAAGCTGGAGGCCATATCGAGCTGCCGGAGGCCGTGCTTCGTCGGAGCTTCTGGTCGCCGGACCAACGTCGGGTCCAGTCCTCCCTCTGACTTTTAATTGCTCCGGTTGACCGGCCAGTTCGGATCCGGGCAGGAATGCCTCGGATCTGCAAAATCCAGATTTTTTTTGGATCTTCAGAATGATTCTTGACTGATTTCTTCATTTTGGATGAATTTTTGGATTTTTGGAGAGGTTTTCTCACTTGATTGTGTTCAAACCTCTCAACGAGAGCACCATTTGATGGATAATTGATACTCATATCCTATAACTAGTGAGAGTCTGAACAAGAGTGGAGAAGAAATGATGAAGAAGAAGATGAATAGTGTATAGAATGAATATTGATTGTAAGAGTTGTGTAGCCTCCTAAAGGAGTATATATAGGGAAAATCCGGGTCTGGGACCTCTAATATGGGCCTGACAGACCCGGTTACATAAATGGACTAATAGTACAAACAACTAATCTAGAACATCTGAATAATAATAATAATGCACAATAATATGAATGATATCCACTAA